GTTCACACACATGTCCTAGTGGGCATATGCACTTGGGATACTGTTGATATGCTCTTTTGAACGAGTGACCATGAGAATTCATAAAGGGTTTATAAAACACCTTTATAATTTAGCATTTGAAAGAAGAGGAGCAAATTGATTGTGAGATGTTTCTAAACTATAGGGTTTTTAATTATTTTTATTCTTTATTGTTGAAAGTATTACATATGTCCACTTTTCCCCCCTACTTACCCACTCCAGTCGCCTCCACCCCAGGCCTTCAGCAACCTATTGTCTGTGTCCATGGGTTATGCCTATATGCATGCAAAGTCTTCGGTTGATTACCTCCCATCCACCCACCCTCTCCTGCCTTCCTTCTGAGATTCTGTTCCATGCTTCCATGTCTCTGGATCCACTCAGTTCATCAGTTTAAATATCAAAAATCAAAATTCTTCATGTGCCTGTAAAATATATTTTGTTATTAAAGAAAGAATCAGTAGTAACATGTAATAGTGATAAGGTATATCTAATTCTGCTCATTTTAAAAAATACCCAAGAAGTGCTGAGGGAAAAGAAAAGGATAGAAATTATGTACTGTAGCATAATGCTGCTTGAATGGTATTTTTAAAAAGAAACATATTTAGCCCTGGCTGGTGTGGCTGGGTTGGTTGAGCATCCTCCCAAGCACCTAAAGGGTTGCTAGTTTGATTCCTGGTCAGGGCACGTGCCCAGGTTGCAAGCTTAATCTACCATCGGGATGTGTTCAGGAGGCAGCTGATCAATGTTTCTCTCATATCGATGTTTCTTTCTGTCCTTTCTTCCTCTCTCTCTAAAAATCAAGAAAAACATATTTCAAAAAATACTAAGATACAAATGTTAATTCTGAATACTTTTTTTACTATTATTAAATAACTTGTGATTCCCATTGCAAAATACAAAACTGTAGTGAAGACTGTTATGCATACATTGTTATGTATTTTTAAAATATATATTTAGGGCCAAAACCGGTTTGGCTCAGTGGATAGAGCATCGGCCTGTGGACTGAAAGGTCCCAGGTTCGATTCCGGTCAAGGGCATGTACCTGGGTTGCGGGCACATCCCCAGTAGGAGGTGTGCAGGAGGCAGCTGATTGATGCTTCTCTCTCATCGATGTTTCTAACTATCTCTCTCCCTTCATCTCTGTAAAAAATCAATAAAATATATTTAAAAATATATATATATATATATTTAGGTTAAATGCCAAGAAGTAGAATTGCAAAGTTCAGAAAGTACCTGTATTTTTATGTTAATGACTAACATTTTTATAAATAAAAATTCAACCCATAATATATCGATAAGGCTGGTGAATGGAATCAAATTTACTTTTCCAGGTGTCACGCCTAGTCCAGCAACCAAGCCTCCAGTTTCAAGTAGTCCTGGTTCAGAAACTCTTTGTTCTACTTCTATTGTTAAGTTTATAATAGGACGGGTGGAACATTTTCATGTTGTGTATTAATTTGCATTCTTTTAATGATCAGATAAGCTTTTTTGTCTAAATTACTTATTCATGTCCTTTATTTTGTTGGGTTTCTGAATTATTTGTGTTGATTTATCAGAACTTTATATAAATTAAAGCCCCTTGCAGTGGTTCACAACCTTCCTAATGCTGCGACCCTTTAATACAGTTCCTCATGTTGTGGTGACCCCCAGCCATAAAATTATTTTCGTTGCTACTTCATAACTGTAATTTTGCTACTGGTATGAATCGTCATGTAAATATCTGATCTGCAGGATGTGTTTTCAGGGGTTGTGACCCACAAGTTGAGAACCGCTGTCTGGAAGGAACATTTTTTTCTAGTTTCCCCTCCTCCCCCCATTATTTTTCTCAGTTTCCTTTTAAGATTTTTACACTATTGGATATAGATTACTTTATATAACTACTTTCAATTACATAAGTAGTGTATATGAATATAAATTTCAAACATTATAGAGTAAAGGAATCTTCTCTTAGTCCATTGTATCTGTTTCTATACATCAATATCTTATATGTGTAGATATACATATTTTGGCAGTTTTTCTTTTATTTTACACAGAAATGTCATCATGCTGTTGATATTTTTCTAACACTTTTTACACTTACCATCTTAGATTGGGTTAGGGTTAGGGTTAGCGGTTGAGCATTGACCTATGAACATGGAGGTCACGGTTCGATTCCATGTCGGGCGGGACACATGCGTCAGTTGCGGGCTCCATCCCCACTATAGGGCATGCAGGGGACGGCCGATCAATAGTTCTCTCTCATCATTGATGTTTCTCTCTCTCCTTTTCCCTTCCTCTCTAAAATCAATAAAAATATTTAAAGATTAAAATATATTTTAAAAAAAGATTGGGGTTTGTATTTAGATTTGGTCCCATCATTTTAATGATGACTTTAATATATGCCATATTTTACTCGATCAGTGGTCATGGATATGTGCAGAAGCTTCACATTAATAGGTAGCTAGCTATATTGATCACTTCCCTAATGGCTATGGGTGTTACTATTGTCTGTCTTATAAAAGCTTTAGATCTTCTCAATACTCAAATTACATAAACATTTCAATCATGTGTTCTGGTTGCATTCTTTGCATTTAAATTGTTGGTACATCTGAAATACTTACGTTATATGGAATAAGATACAGTTCCTTTACACTGCACCCACCCTATTTGTTGATAAGTTGTCTTCTCTCCAACTGTTTTGAAATGCCAATTTTTATCATACATTTTATATTCCCACTGCCAGTACACAAAGGTTCCAATTTTTCCGCCCTTTACCAACCTTGTTATTTTCTGTTTGTTTTTTTGTACTAGCCATTTTAATGTATATGAAGTGGAATCTCATTGTCATTTTTGTTAGCATTTCCTAATGATTAGTGTTCATATTTTTTAAAATAGATTTTTATGGATTTCAGAAAAAGGAGGAGAAAGGGAGAGAAACATCAATGATGAGAGGGAATCATCAGTTGCCTCCTGTATTCCCCCCACTGGGGGTGGAGGGAAACATCAATGATGAGAGGGAATCATCAGCTGCCTTCTGTATTCCCCCCACTGGGGGTGGAGCCTGCAACCTGTGCATGTGCTCTGACGGGAATTGAACCCCGACCTTCTGGTTCATAGGTCGACACTCAACCACTGAGCCACACTGGTCCAGCAGTGATCATATTTTTATATGCTTATTGATGTTTTGTATAGCTTCTTTGGGGAAATGTCTATGCAAGTCCTTTGCTCATTTTTTGATTTGGTGTGTTTTTGTTGTTGCTACTGAGTTTTAGATGTTCATTATGTATTTTAGATATTAATCCCTTGTCAGTTGTATGATTTGCAGATCTTTCCTCCCATTCTTGGATTGCCTTTTTACTCTATTGATAGCGTCGTTTGATAAGCAAACGTTTTCAATTTTGATGAAGTCCCATGTATCTATTATTTTTCTTTTGTTGCCTGTGTTTTTGGTGTCACATTGCCAGGTCCAACATTATGAAGCCTGTCCTCTGTTTTGTTCTCAAGTTTTATAGTTTTAGCTCTTATGCTCAGTTCTTTGATCCATTTTGAATAAATTTTTGTGTATGGTAAAAGGCAGGAGACCAACTCCATTCTTTTGTGCGTGGATATCCAGTTTTCTAAGAACCACATGCTGAGAGACTGTTTTTTCCCTTTAGATATTCTTAGCATCCTTGTGCACATTTGACCATATTATGTGAGGGTTCATCTCTGGGCTTCTATCATTTGGTTTGTCTTTTTGCCTGTATCACTGTGTTTTGATTCTTACAGCTTTTTAGTCAGTTTTAAAATCAGGAAGTTTGAGTCCCCTCAACTATGCTGTTTCAGGATTGTCTAGGCAATTTTTAGATCCTTGGATTTTAAGATTTATAAATTGGGCCCTACCTGGTTGGCTCAGTGGATAGGCATGAACCTGAGGACTGAATGGTCCTGGGTTCGATTATAAGTTGGATTTTTCTATTTCTAAAGAAAGCATACTCAAGATGGTGATAGGATGCATGTAATCTGTAGGTTTTTGTAATATTAGCACAGGATATCTTTCTATTCATGTAATCTTCTATTTCTTTCAGCTGTTTTGTACTTTCCAGTGTAGGAGTCTTTCACCTGCTTGATTGTTTTTTCCTAAGTATTTAATTTTTTATGCTATTGTAAATGGAATTGTTTTCATAATTTCCCTTTTGGATTGTTTATTTTTAGTTTTAGAAATGCAACTGATTTTGGGGTGTACATTACATAGCCTGCAACTTTGCTGAATTTATATTTTAGTTTCAACAGGTTTATGTTTGTATAATCTTTAGAGTTTTCTATGTAAAAGATCATGTCATCTGCAACAGATAATTTTAGTGCTCCTTCCCAATTTGGGGGTGCTGGTTATTTATACTTTTTTGTCTTATTTCTGTGACTAAAACTTCCAATATGATGTTGAGTAGAAGTAGGAAATGCAGGCATCCTGTCTTGTTCCTGATCTTAAGGGGAAAACTTTCATTCCTTTACCATTGAGTATGATATTAGCTATTGGTTTTTCATAAATGGCCTTATGTGTAAGTTTCCTTCTACTATAGATTAACTTCTAAATCCTATTAAGCCTTCCTGTTTGTGTGGGGGTTTTTTTATTATTATTTTAGAAAGGATTGGAGAGGGAGAGATCGATAGAAACATCAATGATGAGAGAGCATCCTTGATTGGTTCCCTCCTGCATGCCCCACACTGGGGATCGAGCCCACAACCTGCGCATATTCCCCAACTGGGAATGGAACCGTGATCTCTTGGTGCATAGGTCGAAGCTCAATCACTGAGCCATGCCAGCCAGGCCCTATGTCTTTTAATTTTATGTAGAATCACATCAATCCATAGGCTAATTTTGATGTTAATCTAATGGTAAATTTAATTACTGTACCATAGAATATTGTCATAGGAAATGTTACTGGACAGGAAGAATTCTGATGACAGTGAATATAAATTTACAATATATATGATATTTGGAAAAGAAACTAATATAATTTATGTGAAGAAAATAAAATTATGAGAGTTTTTATTCAAAGGTAAAAATTCTAAACTTATAATTTAGAGGTCTCAATCTTTGTTATTGTCTTCTTTCTCTTTTTACTTACTTTTTTTCCTTTTTTCCTAGGACATCCCCCTCCTGATGAAACACCATCTCAATCATTAGGTATTATTTTAGTTTGTAATGCTCTGCAGTATGAGATCTTAAAGTTTTACATGGAAATATATTTTGATTACCTGTAGTTTAAGAAGGTATAATCTATCACTAAAGTGTAAGAATTAACATTTGGTAATTTTACTAGTAATAGTGTAGATACCATGACAAATATACAGTAGTATGTGTAGACACATGTAATACAGTTTTTAAGAGGATTCCTTGTAAGCTGAGGTAACTTTCTCAAATGCTCCATTTATTTATAGGTTAAAATTTGTAGGCTATAACTTTCTTTCCATGTGATAGTGTCATTTTGTGATGGCAACTGGTAGGTAAGTTTTCTTTCTATTCATACCTTGTATACACACGCCTTAATGTACTATAAGTTGGGTTAATTTTTTTTTTCATAACAAAGCTGATGTATCACACTTTATGTAGACTCACATAGTACACACAATATATATTCAAGAAACTGATCATTATAGTTGTGTCATTTAAATGAAGTATAAGGATTTTTGATGAATAGATAAAGAAAAATGTGTATTACTTTTCTTTACATTAGACGAGTTTAGTAAGGTTTGTCTTTTTATAAAATGCACTTTATGCTCGTTAAGTTTTTCCTCTGAACGCTGTGGTTAAACTGTCATTGTGCCAGTAAATCTAAAGCACCTTCATTCATTAAACACTTGACAATTTTTTAATGAAGTAAAAAGCGTAGAGGTAAACAAGACATTGTATTCTTTGACTCATAGAAATTTAAGATATAATTAAGATTTTGTAGATTTATTGCTCTCTTGATAGACAAAAATACTTGTTTAAGTTTTTAAGCATGATTTTATCCATGTGCCCTGGTGTTTCTTTTGCATTCTTAGAATCTCCTTGGTATGTCTTAATTTGAAGGTGGGCATGCATGAGGAAGGATTGATAAGATCATGTATTATTTGTGAAGATTCAACATACTACATTTCTGTAATAAATTAATAGAACTTTATTATGACTTATTGCACAGATCCACCACTGTTGGTGAAAAAAATATTTCGTAATAAAGTCATAAGAAATGATAGACTGAATACTGAACTATATCCACTAAGATGGAATAATACATTTTTAAAATGATTTTCCCACTAATCTAGTGAATTCTGATTGTTATATTTACTAATAACCTAGTGTGATAGCTACAGCACAAAACAGTATTGGGCCCTAAGCCTGGAATTGTATAAGGGCTCTGTGATCAAATGAGCTGGATGCACTCTCATACTAAACTAGACTGATAAACTTTTTTTTTTTTTGCTGTAGTTTATAGAGGATTTGGTTAACTAAAATGTAACTGCCACCTGGAGACCCACATGTGCTCAGTTATCTTCAAACTGGTTTTATTTTTCTCAGGTGCAGGAGTCATTGTTGCGATTGTTTTAGCTGTTGGTAAGTGTCCCAACTTGGATCCCACTTAAATCAAAATATTAATGTGAAGAGCATTATTTGTGCAACAGTTTTTCAATTTCTACAGTTTCTATAGCTTGAAATTAAGTAAACCAGTCTAGAAACACCTCACCTTTTATATGAGACTAGAGGCCCAGTGCACGAAATCACACGAGACTGAGACCTGCCATGTTGTGAGACCCATCAATGCACCTCGTGGTGATGGGTAGTTTGGTCGTGACAGCGTTACGATCACTGGCTTTTTATAATATAGATACTGCCTTGTGTTGCTGATTATATATTCATTTATATTCTATATGTCCACTTAGTAACAAATCCTAAAAAATACATGTTTTTTCAAGATGATTAGTCATATGAGTTTGCATGCCAAATATGCTTTGGGTATTTTTTTAAATTGGGAAAAGACTCTTCTCTGGCTTACTGTGGACTAAGGAATTGATTCCAGAGACTTGCACTTAGTGAAGAGTCCAGATGGAACAAATGAATGGCCAGGGCAATGTGCTTAAATAAAATAGCATTTTCTGCCCACTGAACATAAATTTCTTCTGCTAGGTTTTGAATCTTGGTGATTAGTTTTCAATTACATTTCATTTGTTCTCTGGTTTATAGTTGTTGTTGTCGTGGGACTCATCATCTGCGTATACTGTCAGAAGAAGAGGAAAGGGTAACGTACAGCACGTTTCTTGAACATATTGGTGCCTCTCCCTCTTGATGTACTTTTGTGCAGCTTGTGTTTACACTCTGTATTGCATGTATTTTTTTTTCAATGTGCCTACATGACTGTGCATTCAGAATTGCATTTCTTTACTAAAAATACTTACAGCGATTTTTACTATCATTGTAACAAGAGAAAGCTGTGTAGAGTTGCTTCAGCTATATGTCTGTAAGAAAAATTTCTGTGTGATTTGGGGTTTCAGTTCTGCAACAAATCATGGACCATGATGGGACCTTCCCTACTGTAGGTAAACCCTACATTCCAAATTAGGCTGGTGGCCAGGATTAAATTTAAAATTGTTCGCTGGAAATTTTGACAGGTATATTCACTGGAACTTTTTTATGAAAACGTTCCATTTGTTTTTATTAAGTAGTTGTAAGAAGCTATGTAGATGTCATCAAATTTTTTTTTCATTTAGAATTATTTATGCTAGTTAAACTTGGGAATTAAAAGGAACACTATTTGATTTCCCTTTTTTTTAAAATATATTTTATTGATGTTTTACAGAGAGGAAGGGAGAGAGATAGTTAGAAATATCGATGAGAGAGAAACATCGATTAGCTGCCTCCTGCACATCTCCCACTGGGGATGTGCCCGCAACCCAGGTACATGCGCCTGACTGGAATCGAACCCGGGACCCTTGAGTCCGCAGGTCCACTGAGCTGAACCGGTTTTGGCTGATTTCCCTCTTATGTTCTCTTAATTTACTAGGTTGCAGAAAAACTGATGGGGGTTAAACTTGCTGAGAGGGGTAAGATTTATAAGGCACCTCATTAACTTTGTCTTTTTATTTATAAAAAATGAAAAAAGATGGGAAACTTAGAAAATAATAATGTATAAATCCTAAGGTCACAGGGTTTGTAAACATTAATCTTAATTTCAAATTAAATAATTTATAATTTAATGAAAGAGAATAAATCCTGGAGCACAGACAAGATTAGGTACTTTGAAATTTGATTTTTAATTATTCATTCTTCCCAATTACTTTGGAAATAGCTTTGAAATCAAACCAATATTTTTTTTTAATCCTCACCCGAAGGTATGTTTATTGATTTTTAGAGAGAAATATCCCTATCATTTGCCTCTTGTATGTGCCCTAACCGGGAATCGAACCCACAATTTTTTGGTGTACAGAATGATGCTCAAACCAATAATTTTAAGTATCTTGGTATTCATGATTTTATGATGTATTTTTTTCTTATATTAATCATTGTGTTTCGACTATGTAGTAAAAGTATGTTCTACACCAGCCGTGGGCAAACTACGGCCCGCGGGCCGGATCCGACCCGTTTGAAATGAATAAAACTAAAAAAAAAAAGACCGTATGCTTTTATGTAACGATGTTTACTTTGAATTTATATTAGTTCACACAAACACTCCATCCATGCTTTTGTTCTGGCCCTCCGGTCCAGTTTAAGAACCCATTGTGGCCCTCGAGTCAAAAAGTTTGCCCACCCCTGCTAGAGCGCTATGCGCCTGCCTGGCTCCAACTGGCCTGCCAACACTACCCAGTACTCACAAGCTACTCAGTTTTTACACAACAAAAGGGAGAGAGACCAGTAGAGAAGATGAGCTGCAAGAGCAGTATGGAAATCTCTGAGGTTGGAGTTGCCAGTGAGCACCATTGTATATCCTCTACACCTTGAAAGAGTGGGCGGAGCTCTAACTAGGTGCTTGGGCCTACCTGCAAGTTTGCTGCATCTCATTTTCAGAATTTTCTGAACCAAAGCGGGAAAACAGGATCACTAGGGCACACACCTGACCTCCCCATCTCCATAACCCCATGCCTCAGGCACTATAGGCACCTGCATGGGTCCAAGTACCCCACCAACAACCACTTGACACACATCCTACACAGAGGCCACTTTGTGAAGATGGAGAGAGAGCTATTTGGTCTAATTGATATTAACGAACATAGAAAATGACACAATGAAAACAAAAGAATATCTCTCAAATGAAGAGACAAAAAGTCGCAGAAAAAATCCTAATGAATGGAGAGAAGTATTCTGCCTGATAAAAAATTTAAAGAGACAGTCATAAGGATGCTATCCAACTTGAGAGTGGAGTAGAGGAACTTAGGGAGAACTTCAGCAAAGAGTAAGTATGCTGAAGAATGCAACCACTGAGACGAACAATAAACACAGGGATCAACAGCAGTTTAGCTGAAACAGAAGAATCAGTGACCTGTAAGACAGGCTAGTGGACATGAACCAAGAAGAACAGCAAAAAGAAAAGGATTTTTAAAAATGAGGCTAGCTTAAGGGATCTCTAGGACAACATCAAGTGCACTAAGATTTGCATTGTAAGAATCTCAGAAGGAAAAAATGGGAATGGTACAGAAACTTTATTTGAACAAGTAATAAATAGCTGAAAACTTTCCTAACATGGGAAAGGAAACAGACATCCAGGTCTAGGATGCGCAGAGAGTCCCGATATAGGAGCACCTAAATATATAAAGCAAATGCTGTCTTTAGAGGGAGAAATTCACAGCAATACAATAATAGTAAGGTATTTTAACACCCGCATTCACATCAATGAACAGACCATCCAGACAGAAAATTAATAAGAAAATACTGCCCTTAAGTCTCACATTTCATCCAAAACTGCAAAGTACACATTTTTTCAAGTGCAGATAGAATACTACTCCAAGATCATATTGTATGCCCCCCAAATTCAAAAAGATGGAAATCATGTCAAGCAAACTTTTGAAACACAGTGGCATAAAACTAGAAATCACCCACAGGAAGAAAACTGGAAAAATACAAATCTGTGGAGACTAAATACTAGCTTCTATACAATCAATGGGTTAAAGAGAAAAACAGGAAATGAAAAGCTGTCTTGAGTCAAATGAAATTGAAGACACAACTAAAATTTATGGAATGCAGCAAAGCAGTTCTGGGTGGGAAGTTCATAGCTATACAGGCCTACATCATGAAACAAGAAAAATCCCAAATAATCTAACTTTACACCTGTGGGAACTAGAAAGAACAAACAAAACCTAAAGTAAGCAAAGGAAAGAAATCATTAAAATCAGAGCAGAAATAAACGAAATAGGAAAAAAGAAAAGAATGTAAGAGCTGGTTCTTTGAAAACGAAACAAAATCGACAAACCTTTAGCTAAATTCATCAAGCAAAAAAGAGAACCCAATGAAATACATAAACGAAAAAGAAGTTACAAATGACACCAAGGAAATACACAGAATAATTAAGGAATATCGTGTATGTATGCCAAAAAAATACCACAGTCTGGAAGAAATGGATGCATTTCTAAAAGCACACGTACAATCTTCCAAGTCAAAACCAGGAAGATATAGAAAGTCTAAACAGATAAGTTACTAGCAATGAAATTGAAATGGGTTGGGGAGTAAAATAAAACTTCAGGATCAGAGGGCTTACAGGTGGATTCTAAATATTTAAAGAAGTAATACCTGCGCCCTAGCCAGTTTTGCTCAGTTGATAGAGCATCGGCTTGTGGACTGAAGAGTTCTGGGTTCGATTCCAGCTAATGGCACATGCCTGAGTTGTGGGCTTGATCCTTAGTAGGGGGTGTGCAAGAGACAGCTGATCAATGATTCTGTCATCCACCAAAAATTAATAGAAAAGAATTAAGTAGCAGGATACCAAATATACAGAGATTCATGGCTCTTACACACCAGTAATGAACAATCAGAAGGATCAAACAGCATAAAATACCTTGGAATAAGTTGAGTCAAAGAGGTCAAAAACCTGTATCCTGAAAGAAACTGAAGAGGATACAAATAAATAGATATATGCTTAATAATTGTAAAAAAAAAAAAAAAAAAAAAAAAAAGACCTTGAAAGCAAATGAAACTTTAAGAATTAAGTGGGAGGTATCAAACTTCCTTATTTCAAACTAGACTACAAAGCAATAATAATTAAACAATATGGTACTGGGATAAATACACCTAAAAAATAGAATAAAATAGCCCAGAAATTCTCACTTATATGGTCAGTTAATTTATGATAAAGGAGCCAATACAATGGGTGTAAAGACAGGTCTCTTCAAAAGGAGGTGTTGGGCCCTGACCGATTTGACTCAGTGGATAGAGCGTCGGCCTGCGGACTGAAGGGTTCTATTCCGGTCAAGGGCATGTACCTTGGTTTCGGGCACATCCCCAGTTGGGGGTGTGCAGGAGGCGGCTGATCGATGTTTCTCTCTTACTGATGTTTCTAACTCACTATCCCTCTCCCTTCCTCTCTGTAAAAAATCAATAAGATATTTTTTTAAAAAAAGGTGTTGGAAAAATTGAGAGTTGCATGCAAAAAAAAGTAAAATTGGACCAATTTCTTGTACCAGATACAAAAATAAGCTCAAAATGGATTAAAGACTTAAATATAAGATCTGATTCCTTGAAATTCCTAGAAGGAAACATAAGTAGTAAACTCTTTGACATCAGCCTTAGCAAATATCTGTTTGGATATGTCTCAGGAAAGGGAAACAATAGTAAAAATAAACAAATGGGACTACATCTAAGTAAAAAGTTTTTGCAGAGTAAGGAAATCATCAAGAAAATAGCCAGCCTACTGAATGGGAGAAAATATTTTCCAATATTCAATAAGGGGTTAATATCCAAATACATAGGGAACTCATACAACTTAACATCCAAACAACCCAATTTAAAAATGAGCAGGGGACTTGAGCAGACATTTCTCCACGGAGAACATACAGATGGCCAACAGGCATATGAAAAGATGCTCAACATCATTAGTCATCCGGGAAATGCAGGTTAGAATCACAATGAGGTATCACCTCACACCTGTTACAGTGGCTATCAAGTCAGTGCTGGCAAGGATGTGGATGCCGGCAATGTTGGTGGAATAGTAGACTGGCACAACCACTATGGAAAACAGTGTGGACATTCCTCAAAAAATTCGAAATAGACTTACTATATGATCCAGCAATTCCACTTCTGGATGTTTGTCCAGAGAAAACAAAATTAGTAATTTTTAAAGATATATACAGCCTTACGTTCATTGCAGTATTATTTATAGTGGCCAAGATATGGAAGCAACCTAGGTGTCCATTGATAGGTGAATGTGTAAAGAAGATATGGTTAATATATACAATGGAATGTTACTTGGCAATAATGAAAAACAGAATGATTTTGTCATTTGCAACAATGTGTGTGAGTCTACAGGGTATTATGCTAAGTGAAATATGTCAAAGTCAAAATACCATGTGATTTCATTTATATGTGGAATCTGAAAAATACAAAACAAACGAATAAAGAAAACAAAACAGACACAAACCCATAGATACAGGGAATAAGCTGAGGGTTGCCAAAAGGAGAGGGATTTGGGATGATAGGTGCATTGAAATGAAGAAATAAAATGAAACCTGAAATTGTAAAGAATGAGACATAGTATAGCAAAACAAACAAAATGTCCATATACATGTAAGACTTGATTATACCTTAGACTTCTTTGGAGACATTACTGCTAGAATGTACAAGGCAACATTTGGTAGAGGGTATGTGAGGGCAGGAGAATACATTAGACTCTAAAGATTAGAGGCCCTTGTATCATTTTCTAAAAAGCACATGATTGGGAGTCTGTATGGGATAATGTCACCAAAATGATTACATACGAGGAAACTGCTATCAAAAGAGAACTGTCCCTCATCCATTGGCTAAAGAAAGAGGACAAACAAAACAAAAACCAAAGTACAAAATAGAATAAGTAGTCCTTTTAAGATTATTAAGTATCATTTAAATTATGGTGAAGCCCAACCAGTTTGGCTCAGTAGTTAAGTGTCAACCTATGAATCAGGAGGTCATGGTTGCATGCCCAGTCAGGGCACATGCCCCAGTTGCCGGCTCCATCCCCACTAGGGGACATGCAGGAGACAACCAATCAATGATTCTCTCTCATCATTGATGTTTCTTTCCCTCTCCCTTCCTCTCTGTGAAATCAATAAAATATTTTTTAAAATGTGGTTTTTTTTATTGTGATGAAAATGGCCACAGAATTTAAGTACTCTGGTACGTTTTTCTATTTCTTAGCTCTCAGCTAAGAATAACAATAGGACCCCAAATTGGTCAGAAATGGGCCCCATCGACACGTTCCTTCCTCGTCCGTCCGGTTTCCGTTCTGAGCTGTTCCCCAAACTTTCCAGTCTGGGTGTGCACAGCCCTTGACCTGTGCTTCGCTACTGCTGCCGTCACGTTTTGTGTGTCTTGACTGTGCGCTGCCAGCTGCCTTTTGTTGACATTAATATTTTCCCTCATTTGTAGTGAATACTTTCCTCACTGATGCATGGTTTTCTTTATGCTAGTTATATCATTCCAGGATAAGTATGAGTTTGCCATGTTCATTAGAATTCTCTGCATAATTTATGTACTTTAATAATGTGACTAAATTGTTTTGCTTTCTTACATTAAAGATATTTAATGACTTGTTATAGCATAAACCTGTTTTTAATAATAGGTTAATCATGCCTGATGCAGTAACTCTCATTTTTAAGCCGCCTGCTTAAATGAATGTCACCAGGTTTGGGGGATTAACTGTATATAGTGGCCAGGGCAGGTGGCTGGCAGAATAGTGACCTGGGACACAACAGCAGAAGGATCAAATGAACGTGCACATTTTTCTAGTTGGGTCTCAAATTCTGGAGCATTCAACAAACTGTTCACATATTTTAAACAGAAGGCTAAGAAGAAGCAAAGGTTTTGTAGTTAGTGGAGAGCACACATTTATGAGATTTAGACCCATCCCAGGACAATGGGAGAGGTCTGATGACGGGTTTACAGAGATCTGCCCTCAGTGCAGAAGTCAGGACGCATCTGCAGATGTGCAGCTTGTCATAAAACACTTCTAAGACAGTACTACGTGCATTTAATACTGTGCCGTGTGCTCCCTCGGAGCCTAAGGTGCTAGAGCCCAGCCCGTTTCTCCTCCCCACGTGCTATCCTGTTAAAGAGTGTTCACTTCAGGATCTGTAAGATTCTGACGTAAAGTAGCTTCTGATACCACGCTCCTCTTGCCAGTTCCTAAGAGTCAGAAACGTCATGATGTCTGGAGCTGATTGTCAGCTTTCCTTCTATTCGGCCCTGTCATTGATTTTGTCCCCGTTATTATGCCACTCTTCCTTATGATTTGTTACCACTATTTTATTCAGCCCTTTTCCCTTCCTCTGTTCAGCACCTACCTAACTGGTGAGAGCCACAAAGAAGTAAGATTTATTTCTCTATGAGAAGAAGAGGTGAGAGAAGGGTTTGCTTTTATCATCATAAGGTATCTGCTTCCTGTGTGTTTCTTTTCAGATGTCCTTTCTTTTGAAAAAATGTTGAGTGAATATGTAGATGTCAGTCACCTCAGCTAAGATATGATGACAGTAAACATTAACAAGGACACTTAGACTCCAGTCTCCGTTGCTAAATTACCGACTTAATACCATTCCAGTTTTAATGTAAAGTAGTGTGGACTGGCAGGGTTTGGTTTGAGGTGGGCTCATTAGAGTGACGTTCCCTTGTCTTTTTATCTAGCAGCTGTACATCCATAAATGAGGACTTTTTTAGCCCAGTGGGAAATAATCATACATTTGTTCATGTTAAGTACAGGGAGGGAAAGTTTCCTTTTACAGAAATCAAAAGACGCTTTACTTAATTTTGCAAATGTGTTCAATTTTAACTTAGAAATATTGACTCCCTGAAGGCATTTGTCTCTCCCTTGACCAGAATAGTTTTAGTATATGAAAGAGAAGGCAATTAAATCAGATTTTGAAACATTTTGAATTGCATTGTCTTAAGCCCTATGACCCCCTCCTGAATGACAGGAGCTGCAAGTGCCCCCCTGTTTGTGGCGGACTGTGTCTACATAGCAGGGAGAGAGGGAGATCTGCATCCAACAGCTGTAATGTGAGGCCCTGCCTAGGTCACAGGAGCTTAGGGCAGATTCTACAAAGCCCCGTGGGGAGGGCAACTTAGTAAAAGCAAAGTGGTGTCTTTGATTCCCGGGCAAAGGCAAGTGACATCCCAGTTAGACCGGCAGCTGGGCCTCCTGGGCCTCCCAGCCCTCCTGTCTTCCTGGTCTCTTAGGATTCTAAAGGCTAAAGCCAACCAGGACTGTCGTTTTCAGACTGCCGTGAGCTTCAGGGTGTCTGTAAACAGCTGAAATTCATTGAATGAAAGGCAAGGTTAATACAAAATAACTAGTAATTGGGTTTCAGATTTTTATCATCAAGTAGCTTCACTGTTATTTTATCAAGTGTTTTTAGACATTTGTGAATTCTTTTTATCTTTATCACATATTGCAATTATATTTCAAATTCTTTTTAAAGAAGTTTCAGAAGCCCTAGCCGGTTTGGCTCAGTGGATAGAGCGTCGGCCTGTGGACTGAGAGGTCCTGGGTTCGATTCCGGCCAAGGGCATGTACGTTGGTTGCGGGCACATCCCCAGTGGGAGGTGTACAGGAGGCAGCTGATCGATGTTTCTCTCTCATCGATGTTTCTCACTCTCAATCCCTCTCCGTTCCTCTCTGTGAAAAATCAATAAAGTATATTTTTAAAAAAAAAAGAAGTTTCAGAAAATAAAATGAATCAACTGTGAAACTCAGAAAAAGGAAGTGGTGTTGGAGAACTCAGTGACAGGCCTACCCTTCGCCTCCCTCCCCACCGCAGCCCTCAGGACCTGGCTCTGTCCCAAGGGCAGTCCTGTGACAGTGGTGGTTCACAGAGCTGGCCTCCCACCAAGAGAAATAGTCTAATATGCAAACCAACCTGGAGCCCTTGCACTGGGAGGCGTCCCTGAAGTGCCTGCTGTGAGGAGCAAACCATGAATCGCTGGCTGGGCCATTTTAGCTTTAGTCTGTCTGTGATGGTGCATTCACTGAGGCAGGGACTACGGCTGCATTTTCCAATTTAATGGTTATTCATAGTTAACCATTCCAATTTAATAGTTAATAATCCTGTTGAGGACTTCAAAACTAGCTAGTCCAATGCAAGATGTGCTGGAAGTGTGAAATACACACCAGATTTTAGTGTTAGCACACAAAATGTAAAATCGTAGCAAATGTTAATATTTTCACTGTATTGGGTCAAGTAAATATATATTAAAATTAATTTTCCAGTTTCTTTTACTTTTTTAATGTGGCTTCTAGAAAATATAAAATTACGCCTATGACTCACATTTTTTTGGACAGCGCTGGGCTAGATAGCAGGTTTTAGGCAGATGTCTGTTGCTACAGTAATAGTGTGATGGCCATGTCAGGTAGGCAGGAGCATCCCTTACGGGAACCTGAGGTTTCCTTGACCGTCTGGGAGAAAGGCATCATTGAACAGGAACGCTGTTGGAATCACCTTTTTAGAAGCTTCATCTCAGAGGTAGATCTAAAACTGCTATATTAGGAGAACACGTTTCTCCCCGGTCTTTCCCATTGGCCCTAAATATAATTTGAGATATTTACCAAGTACTTTATATACAGCTGCTCTAAAAATTCTTGTTTGCGTGGAGTAAATAATCCAGTATAGGGAGAGAAGAGGGGCTTCTACAGTTGAATTGTCCATTTTCTGAGTAGGCTTCTGAATGTAACTTCTGTACTTAAATTGTTTTTGTCTCTGACACTACCTCTTTATCTTGCCTTTAGGAAAACAGAAGGCAATGCTGCCTACAGCACATACCAGAGTAAATCAAGCACTCCGGCACAGTAGACGCTCTGACAGACTTTCCAGAACGCTCCACCACTTCGTTTTTAAAATGTCAAGAAAGACCCACATTAAATTCGATGGCTACTATGCAAAACAGTATGGAGGGCCCTCAAAATTAGAACCGGAGCCACCCTATGATCTTATGGGAATATATCTGAGTGAAGGGAAATCACTGTGGAAGAGAGAATCTTCTGCCCCTCCCTGTTTGTTGCAGCACTATGTACAATAACAAAGACATGGAAGCAATCTGAAGTGTCCGTCAGCCAATCAGTGGATAAGGGAGATGTATGCACGTACAGTGAAATACTATTCAGTCATTAAAAAGGAAAACGTGTATTGGCCTTCAGGACATTTTGCTAAGTGAAATAAGTCATATATATAAAGAGAGAAATACTGTATGATCTCCTTTATATGTAGAGTCTATTTTAAACTCATCAAAGAAGAAATCAGATTTGTGGTTGGTGGGGTGAGAATTGGATGAAGGTAGTGGTCAAAAGATTCAAATTTAGTTATAAGCACGTATTGGAATGTAACATACAGCATGGTGACTATAACTAGTAATACTTTATTGCATATTGGCAAGTTCCTTAAAGAATAGATCTTAAAAATTCTGGTCACAAGGAAAAAGATTTTTTTTTTTGTAACTATATGAGTTGATAGATGGTAACTAAAATTTGCTCATTTCATAATAAACTTATCAAATCCTTACACTGTACACCTTAAACTTAGATAATGTTACATATCAATTACATCTCCATGAACTAGAAGGGGGGAAAGATCTACAAAGGCGTTCTCTGGTTTATTTCACTGTGAAGGCATAATGCTAACATCTCAGTGCCGCTTGGGTGTAGTCACTATCCTTTGACCCCTCTGAAATGGGTGTGAACTTGGGAATGAACATCTAGCCTGGTATCCCTTAAAAAAACATTTGCATTTATAGAGCAATTCAACACAGTGCCCTTGGATTATGGTAGGAAAAGGATGTTTTTTATAAACTCTGAATATTTAGAGAAGTATAGTTTAAAAATGAGACATTTCATCTATAAAGAATGTGATTTTGCAATGTTCATTTCCAAAGTTAATACCAACTTTCAAGACTCTTTTAACAACTCTATTGTGTGTATTGTAGATAGTTTATTGTAAAAAGTCTTTACAAATATGTGTATACTGCTTCAGCCCTTAAAAATTAAAAACTATCACTGAAAACTGGGAATTTGAGTTAAGTGTGACCTCCTTAACTAAGAATATTATGGGAAAGTAATTTTAAGGGGATGGGATAAGTTTCTATTTTGCAAAATATATTTTAACTTCTTGATGATTTAGAGAAGCCATGAAGTTAATGTGTGGCATTTGTTGTTCACGTTTTCTAACATCAACAAACAAGCCTGAGAATAACAATTTAGGCTCAGTTGCTTGCTTCTGTGAAAAGTTAGAGGGCGCTAACATTCCTAACACGAATGCCCGCTTGGTACAAAGTGAACACTGTGGCCTTGTAGTTTTCTTGGGGAGAATTCCCCTCTTTAAGAGAGAACATAGAATGCGCTCTGAACTCTGGCCTAGGGGGATTTCTCTCCCGACTTGAATAAAAAGCTCTCTCACTTCAGTAAGTCACCTGGCAGTCGTTTGTAGGGAGTAAATTCAACAGATATCCCAAGTTGCATCAGAATTAGTCTTTGTGTGGGTCTCACCTCACCTGCTAAAAGGCAGAGTAAACATTAACCACGTATTTCAGAAAAGGAAACATAACTTTGTGTGTTGGTGGTTGGTCCTATGCAGGGAAGGGAAATCACAATCACGTAGCTCAGGTAGCACTTTATGCTCAGGTGGGCCAGATCCCTCCCTCTCCGAGTCCTCACACCTGGCAGGGTCTCTTTCAGATGAGGCAGGGGCAACGGGGAGGGGCTGCCACTCTCC